ATTCAGTACAGATGATTTCCCCTGTGCATTTGCATATTTGAGTTGGTGATAAGTGGAAAACATAATTATCATTCAATTTGTTATTGCACTAGAACAGGCCTACTGCCTTCCCTGCCTGCAGGCCATGGTTTCACGAAAACCTTTAGGAAAAAAGGAAGTGGTATTGGAGTCTCTTGCCCTGGCAGGGTGGAACTGCTGATTTGAAGGTATCTGCTATCATATCACAGTGTCATAGCATCATGTAGGTGGCAAAGGGACTTCTGCAAGTCTGCAGTCCAGCTTTGTCCTTGTGGCAGGTCCTGTTACAGCAGGTTGCTTTGGGCCATGTTCAGCTGAGTTATGTACCTCTAAGGATGGAGTTCCCACAGCCTCTGTGGGTAAGCTGGTTCAGTATTTGACCCTCCTTGGTTAAAACAAACAAACAGAATCGTTTCCCATACTGAATTGTTGTAAGTTGTGCTCAATGCCTCTTGTGCATCTCTGGGAAGAATCTGGCTCCATCTTTTCTATACCCTTCCATTAGGAAGTAGTAGACTGCAGTATGACCTCCCCTCACCATCTTCTTTAATCCTGAGCAAATCCAGCTCTTGAATCTTGTCTGTCATGAACTGCAGCCCCCTGGCAGTCTGGTGGCCTTCACTAGCCTGGCTTTAGTGCACCAGTGGCTTTCTTAAAATAAGACACAGACCTCTAGATGAAGTGTCACCAGTGTCAGATGGAGGGGAAGAATCACTTCCCTGCAAGCCCACCGGTGACACTCAGCCCAGTTTGCAGCTGGACAGATTTGCTCCAAGAGCACACTGTTGACTTATATTCAACTTGACCCCCAGCTCTTTTTCTACAAAGCTGCTTTCTATCCAGTCTGTTCCCAAGCTGTCCCACCGTGAGGGGTTATGCCAACCCAGCTGCCTGGCTTTGCATTTGCCTTTACTGAAGTTCATGAGGTCCCCAACAGCCCATTTTTCCAGTCTGACTGGGTCCCTCTGAGTAGGAGTCCTGCCCTCCAGAGTATCAGCCACTCCCCCCAATTTGTATCACCCACAAATGTGCTGAGAGGTCACTCTATCCCATCACCCTGGTCATTAGATCAGCCATTTCAAGAATCCAAGTTGATGTAACTTATATAAAGCAAGCAAGTCAAACATCCTTCCAGAGAGATGCTTTGCACTTCAAAATTTGTTTTACCAAATGCACACATTGCAAGTTATACTAGAGGCTGGTATAGCCCTAAAGTGGGATTTTGTTCTGTGTGCTAGGAATGGATTTGAGATAATACCATGTACATTGCAAAATACTATAAAATGGCTTAGCAGAATGGTTTCTAATCTTCCATATGGAGCTTTACAATTCTCATGCATTTTGGAACAACATTCCCAGCAATACGAGTGAAGGGAACATTGGTAAACAAGCATTGGTTGTGAAAAGGAACTAAGAGAAGATGGAAGGACATGAAAGAGAGAAAACCCAGCCAAACCTCCAAAAATGGGATCAAAGACCCTGAATGTTTCCAAACAAATACTCAAATAAGGAAGGCTGTTTGTTTTGTTTGGTTTGTTTTTTTTTAATGAAGATAACAGTGATAAAGAAGGTGACTGTGTACTACTTGGACACTGAGTATCTGGAGGAACATACACTTGTAAAGGATATATTCCAGGCTGAACCTTGTGTCCCAGTCCAGTGTTTAAGAAGATGTGGAATAACTCAGGGACATTTATGCAGTATATCAGAACACCAGGGTCCTGTTTCCCAGCTCTGCTACAGCCATCATAAAGCAACTTGAGCAAATCACCCTGCCTCCATTCCCACCTCTAACAATGAGAAAATAATTTATTTTGCTGTTCTTTATTAGTTCATTAATTCAGTGGGACAGCAAAAACATCATATAGCTTAATTGCCACATGCTTAATGCCGTAGGATCCTAATTTTGTAGGACTTTGCTCAGACACCTATAGATCCAAGTACTTCTATACTCATCATAATCATCATCACTACAGATGGTCACAACAAGAGTATATATAAATATGACAAAGACAGGTGCCATGCTTTTTCATTTCTTGAGAAAAATGACTGTTCCTACTAAATAAAAAATTTTAATGGACCCACCATTACTACAAAAATACAGCTTTGCATCTGTTTAGTCAGCAGTAAATCTACTGTTACACTGCTCTCAAAATCACCTTCACCTGCTCATGGGGCAGTGGGTAACTTGCACTTACATTAACTGTATTTTAGGCCATTCCAGCACTTTCCATAAACATATTAACATTTTGGAGTAATATACTCTGTCATCTTCCTGCATGTACATAATCACAGACACTGAGAAACGAGGCTTTTGCAACTAATTTAACAAGTTTGCCAATAACAGTGTTGTGCTGTGAGAATGTTCCTCAGTAGAACTACGTGCCTCAATTACATTAATCTGTTCCTCAGATTTAAAAACAACTTAATTGAAGCAATCATGAGGCACATGCAACCTTGTTCAGGAAAGTATATTTGAAAAGCAAATGCTTCTGCCCACCCCTGCACAGCTCCAGCTGACAGAAAGAAAGAATTCATCAGTAAGAAGGAAAATGCCATTTGTCACATATGACTTAGGCCAGTTTTCAAGTGCTTCAAATGGAAAAAAAAGGAACACTACAAAACGAAATATAACAGGTTTTCACTGCCACATAAGTTTTTAATAAAAAATTTAAAGGGAATTCAATCTAATTAAAAAAATATGATTCTACTGTTGTAATCCATATGAACTTCCAATCTGTTACTAGTATCTTTTCTTAGCCATACGCCATGGCAACGAGCTGGACATCCTAGCTCCTCAGTAAAAGTATTTCCTTCTATCAGATTTCCCCCCTACCCCCCATTTCACTAGATGTTCTCCTTTGAACTTTTCCTACAACTCATAGGAAACAGAACTCCTGACTTGCATTCCTTACTTCATCACTTTATGTAGTTACTGTCACTTCACATCTCTGTGTACTTCCTGATAGAAGCAGCTGTAGTCTGAACATTTCAGTCTCACTTGATTTTTCAATGGGTTTAAGGATACTTTCTTCAGAGAGAAATGTATCAGCTGCACTAACATATTGCATCAGTCTCCCGAAGAACAAACATGAAATGTAATTCATCTTGCTCCCTTGGATACTGTTTTCATTGTCATATCCAATGGTATGCTGGATGGGACAGTGTTCAACTGGAAGTTTCATTAAACAGCTCTTGAAGACCATTAAAACGTTCTAATAGGTGTGACTTATTGACCGGAAGAGCCGGTAAACAAATGCAGAAGTGACAGTCGAGCCCAGAGTAACAGTAATTAGCGCTGTGACTCCATGAGTAATAGGGAAATTGCCCTGACCCAGTTGGTGGCAGGAGCAACAAAAATCTGGAAAAAAAAAACAAAAAAAGAAACATCCCAAATAGATGGGTTTTCTACCAAGATTTCTCAGGGTCACGGACAAAACCTGTGGTTGCCACACATCCCATTTCACAAGTGCTCCAGTTCACTCTGCTGGGAGACAGGGTGGTAGCTCCGCTCCGTTGGCCAGACGCAGGCACAGGGAGAGAAGGACGGGCTGGCAGCGTGTCCCAGCTGCCTGGCACGGATCCACAGGGCCTCAGAGGCACACAGGGAGCCTCCAGCAACCTCCATCCCTCTGCAGAACACCAGCACTCGGTGGAAAGCCTGCAGCTTCTGCTGTGACAAGTTCATCCCGTCCCCCCCGTGCCTCTCCAGGCACCGCTCACGGCTGTCCCGGCTGACGGGCCACGCCTGCTGCTCTGCACGCAGTTGCACAAAGGCCTATCAAGTGTACAATGGCATATCAATATCCTGCCTATCAGTATCCCGCCTGCTTCCACATTTATCCCACGCTGCCCTGACTCCAGTGCCAACACAAACACCTCACAGAGCGTGGATTAATGAGAGCGTGACAAAAACAAATCTGATCTGTCTGTGCATGCTTTCTGTCTGTTGGAATCGTAACACAGATGACTTTCTACCTCTCCAAATTAAAGAGGAACGATACAATGCAGAAATCACAGCATTTTAATGCAAAAGTAGAATTATCCTTCAGTATGCACACTAAAAAAGGGTTTATTTCTTTGATAAAAGTACTATTCACTACAAAAAACCCCCAAACTACCAGCTGGTCTCCAACAGTAAGATAATATGACCAAGAGCAAGTTCTTGGTAAGTTCCATAAGTTCATTTTATCTCTTTCCATATCCTATCAGTGTAAGCCTTGGTGAGATCCAGTGGGGATAATATCCTGGAATATAATAATGCAAAAAAACCCCAACAATGAACAGCACAAAACAAAACACACACAGGCACACAAAATCAATACTTCAAATTCTGGGGCTCCTGACTGCTTGAACAATTGACAGGAAATGCACTGGTTTCAGTGCAATAATGCAAGGTCTGAAGAAACACTTGGGAAGTATGAGCAAGAAAAAAAACCATATAAAAGCAAGTTGTATTGTCTGTGTGTTGAGAAGGGCAGTGAAACTGTAATATGTAGGTTTTACAAAATAATACAAGAGTTGGAAAGGGAGAGGAAAATATACGCACATATTATACAACGTACAAAAAATACTCACTTTGAGTCTCTGTTTTGGTTGAGGTACAATTAAAAAGTTGTTTTGATCAAGCTACAAATATCCATAACCAGTTTAGGAGCTGGTTGTTCTGTGGTCCCCCAAGAAAAGGAGGAATCAAGAGATGAAGTCTGGCAGATGCAGACTCCAGATAGAGCGCATGACTTCGGCACTGGGTGTAATTAACCACCAGAATAACTTGCAACACAGTCTGCTGCCACCCTAACTCTCCAGATCTGGATTAAATTACCAAGGAAGTGCTGTAATTCAAAAAGAAAACATAGCTACCAAAGCAGGAGGGTCCTGGAGGAGCGGAGTCCCCTCCTCAGAGACTCCAGGGCTCCTTCCCGCTGTGCCCGCACCGCGCTCCGCTGCCGAGTGACAGGTCCCATCTCTCCCCGGCTCTTCCAGCGGCAGCTCCTCCCTTCTGGCCAGATGGACAGCACGGCTTGGTCTGGGGCTCGGGTTCGGGGGGACCTGGCTCGGGGCAGAAAGCAGCCTTTTATAGCCGGCCCGCCGCCGCTCCGCTCACACCTCCACGCTCCGCTGCCGAGCGCGCCGCCGGACCCGCACCCCGCAGCCCGCACCCCGCAGCCCGCAGCCCATGGCACCGCTGCCCCCGCTCCTGCTGCTGCTCCTGCTGCTGCCCGCGGCCCGTGAGTACAGCCGGGCACGGTCCTGACCGCCGGGGAAGCGGCCCCGTCCCGCCGCTCCCGTGCCCGGGCGCTGCGCACCGGAGGGAGGGGGCTCGGCCGCGCCGGGGGGCAGGTGGGAGAAGGGGCAGAGGAAGGAGCTCTGGGAGAAGCGATCACGGGACGTGCCTGTCTTCCCACGCCGGAGAGCACAGTCCCCGTGACAGGTGTCCCCGCGCTCGGGCACGGCTGGGTGGAACTCGCCCAAAGGGAGAGCCCGACGTGCTCACAGCGGCGGCTGCAGCTGCACCGCGGCTCCGGGCTGGGGGTCTCACAGCGCTGCCCAAAGTTCCTCAGCGATGCGCAGCTGTGCCGACGAAGGTCGGGGTTTGAAACCAGACTGCAGCTCGCACGTGCAGGAACAATCTACAAAGCCAGTACCTTCACCCCTGCTCCTCTCCGGGTACTGGAGCGAGCTATCGCAGAGCACTCGAGCTCCAGAGCCGTCCAGGGGCAGGAACTGTGAGAACTGAGATTGCCTACAAAACCCTGAGTTCTCCTGAAAAAATGAGTCAGTCTTTATAAATAAGTTATGATGAGAGAACGTAATTAAAGGACCCCTGCCTCATACCTGAGCACAGCCAATTACTCACTTTGCAAATATTTAATTAATTTTTTTGTCTCATATGTCCTATTTATTAAGCAGTATTAAAGACCAGTTGTAGTAATTTACAGCCCATTTCCTCATAGGTTTTCTGAGGAGTTCATCAGTACAGTATCTTAATGTACTTATTTCGTTCCCATAGTGACATGGTAGAACCCAATTTTAACTGCTTAAAATTATGTGGAACTACTCAAAGCCTGGCTCTCAACTGAGTATTGCAGCAGCTTGGTACTCCAACCCCAGGACACTCAGCAGGCAGGGAGCAAACTATTAGTAAACATCAACAGGCATCGTTTTAAAGTGATTAAATTAACCTCGTGCCGAACCTTTGTGACAGCTGGAAGGACAAAATCCACTTTTCCAGAATAGCATTCTGCTGCCTCAATTAAGAGATTCTCTTTTGTCTTCTTGCACTTCCTTTTTTACACATTCCTACACACCTAGGAAATTCACCACACCAGGTCGTGCAAATGACAGGATGCTAAGGACAAGGGCCCCAGTTCAGTCCTAGAGCAGATTCTGGGCACGGAATGAAGCGGGGTCTGGGGGAAGGCAGTGGCACGATTACAGCCCACAAGGTAAGGTGCTTGCATAATGGGGCTAACTTAAGGCCCCACCAAGCTCCCTGCCCCAATTCTACTTCCTGACCTCAGCACGGCCCCATGAGTCCTCCAGCATTTTGATCACCCTCCAGACTTTATCCTTTGCATGGCACAGACCTCAGCAAGAGCAGTAAGAAAAGCCATGGAACCGCTGCTGTGCCAGCTCAGGGCGCTCATTGCAGCGAGCCTGGCTGTGCTCCGAGGGCGCTGAGTCAGGACTGCAGTCACCCACTCCGTGGGCAGTGGGCAGGATGGGAAATGCAATTCATGTTTCCCAATGCTTGGGCCACAGGAGCAAAACAGGCAAATTTATCCTTTCGAAAAATTCCCATGTGACCACAGTTTGTGGAGATAGCATGGGAGCAGTCTGGGCAATAAAGTGAGGTGAAAAAAGGTCACCCCTGATGGCTTATGAAACCAGAGGTAAAAATCCAAGCAAACACCCAGAAGTTTCTGTAAGGCATACATCTCTCTTGGAGATCATCAGAAACTCTGCTGATTCCCAAGTTTCTAGTTCTGAACTTCTAGAGCACTATGACTGCACAGGGAAAATATCCCTACAGGAAATCTTACACATATTTAACATGAAAAAATGTTTCTGTAGTCTTAGTCTTTGAAAGCATGGCTTAAAAAATTTTTTAAAACCCACAAAACATCATAGACTGCATTAGATGCTAATGATTAATGTAGTTATGTATCATAATTGTGCATCTCAATAAAAATATGACTGTGCATCTGCAAAATTAATTATTATGTTTGCATTGAACCCATTGCAAAGAGTAAAATGTTATAGGGAATACAACCTTTCACAAAAAATTAATGTGTTTCTAATTTTTTTCCCTTTTCCTTTATTCACAAAGATAATCTGTTTATAATCAAATGGATGCTTCTGCTACCCAGAGCTGAAAGATGCCAGTAAACACACAGATAATATTCTGGAACAGGAGCCATGACACAACAGATACTATTCACTATCTTAGCAAGGAAGTTTAGTGCCAATGGAGCAGTTTTGAAATGAAACTGCAATCGAGGACAGAGCAAGGAAGCTTTTCTTAGCTCCTCAAGATGTGATGGCTTTCAATCAATGGCCAGAGCTGCACGTGCAAGTTTAAGCACCTTTATTTCAACATCCCTTCTCTCCCTGGATCACACGTCCACAAAACAGGAGGGAAAGAGCTCTGGGAGTGGTCCCCAGCCAGGAAAGCACCAACTGCTGCCTCAGGAAGCCTTGCTGTTCTTTCTAAAAGGGTTTTTTACCATTCTCATACACAAACCAATTGTATTTCTTAATGAGGAGATCTCATGAAGTGTTTAAATTCCATTGTTTTCAAGAAATTACAAGTGCAGGAGGTCACGAGCATCCCACACGTTTCAAGTTACTCAAAGGTGCTGGGAACAGTATTTTTTCTGGCACATTTTCCATTAACTGATTATAGTTAATCATATAATCTATTATAATAGATTACTCTATTAGTCTATTATAATAGATTATGTGATTATACAGATTATATAAAAACTGCATAATCATCATAGTTATTTTGTAGGAAAATAAATATCAAAGCCTTCAACGACAAAGTCTAAATATTTTTTCTGCTGTCTGTCTCCCTCACAAGGTATTATCAGTTATGAATTCTTAATGTCTTTTGCAATCCGTATCCAGCACTGGGAGTTTAGTTTTATAAACTGTTCTCCTCATATCAAAATAAATAATTAGTTTAATTACTAAGAAACTGTAATCAGAAACCTCCCACTAATTTGTTTTGTACTCATTCAGCTTCTTAAAATGTGCTATAAATAGCTTGGAGCCAGCACTGCAAGGAGATGCTGCCCATTACCATTAAGGGTAGCTCAACCTGCAGGAGGACAGGAAGCCCCCAAAATTGTCACCCAGTGTCTCAACATTGTTCTGCTGCTCAGGATCTATTGCTTTAGTACTGACATGGGACAGTTAAAATACAGTTCCTAAATACAGTTTGTTTTGGGGAAATACTGGTGAGAATCCCTTAAACAACAAAAAAAACCCCAAACAAAATGACACAGAAAAAAATATCCCAACCCCACCTTTCTAATTTCCCTGGAAATGACTCCAAGCACCCACTCATTTCCCTGCTCTACATCCACCACACCATCCCCACCAGTTATTTGTCTGCTTTGTCTAAAACTCAGGAAAACCAGAACCCTATCATAGAGGACATATGTGTTCCAACGTAAAGCTTACATTCTACAAAATAACAATTTGGGCAAAACTGTATGTTATAATAAGGAGTAAACACTGCAACCCTTTGGGCAGCCAGTCCTAAAAATCTGGGCCACAGAACAGATGCTGCCCTTACCAGTTTTAAGACTGGAGATGACTGAAGTCTGTCTCTGTTTGCTGCCTCCATGGGAGGAAATCCCTGCAGCTGTTCTGAATGGACTGGGGCCAACGGGACGGGGTCAAGCAGTGTGACCCCAGAGCGTCAAAACCCAAAACTGTGTTACTTTCAAGGATTGTCATTTATCATCAGCGCTTAAATATTTTATATTTGCACGTTTGATTCAATAAAAACCCAGGTTTTTCTCCCCAGTTTATGAAGGTGCTTTCGGGGAAGCCCGTTCCAGACAGCGGCGGGGAATCCTGGAACTGGCCGGGGCCATTCGCTGCACCACGGGCCGCTCGCCCTTCGCGTACCTGCGCTACGGCTGCTACTGCGGGCTGGGAGGGAGAGGATGGCCCAAGGACAGGGTGGACTGGTGAGAGGAACTGCTGAGCTGGGTAGCCAAGTGCAGAGGAAAAGGACTAAAATATAAATCAGGCCTATTTAACAGCAGCGGGGGACTGAGTTTAAACACTGTTTCTGTGGATCTATACGAGCCCTGACTGCCTTTAACCCCAGCTTCCCCCGCGTTGCTGTTGGATTCACAGTACAGCTGAGCTGCTTTGCCGGTGCTGTTCAACCAAGAGCTGAATAACTGAAGTCTTGTGGGACAAGGTTAAAGCTCAAACATTCAAAAAAAATCTATAAAAGTAAAAATTAAAAAGGCAATTGAAAAATCTTGTGATTTTACTACCATGTCCCCTTTTATTAGCATTCAAAACAATACATAAAAATTATGCAAAACCCAACCTGTTGAAAAATAAAAATAATCCTGAAACCCCAACTTTTCTATTTAGTACTAAACCTCAGCATATTGACTATCATCAATTTAATTTGTAATTGAACATTAACTGACAAGATTATTTGCTGGTTTTTTCTGGGCTTTTTTGCTTTTTTTTAAAGTTTCTATGCATGACCTGGAGTTATTGATCTACTTCCTGGGCATGTGCTGTTCAACTGTTGCATTCCACGGGATCTTTACACAGCAATTTGTGTGGAATTACCAAGTAATTACTTAATAAGCATGGGAAAAAGCAGTAACTGCAAAGTGAGAGCTCACAGCATTAACTTTTCCTATTGCAGACACAAATTCCTCAGGCAACCTAAACACCACGTGCCTACTGTAATATGGTTTTAGGCTACCAGGAAAAAACAGAATGAATGAATGAATGCAGAGTGCACAGTTTGTGGATACACCCACCAAGTCAAAAAAGAAAGGGTGTCATTAGTTTGCAGCAAAACCTTACAAGCTCCCTAAGTTCAGGTCCTTGTTACCTCCCCTACTTGCTCTTCTGGGCTTCCAGTGACTCCACACCAGACTCTGCCCCAGCACATTTTAATGTTTTAAGCATTAAAATGTGTCATTAATGCTCACCTGTACTGCTCAGTTTCACAATGTCGTAGAAAGCCTATGACTTTATTGTGCCAATTATGACAAGAACAACTTTAAAATCATGATTTAGAGCAATTTTCTGTATTTTCTCACGGTACAGAGCTAACACTTCAGGTAACTGTGCATTCACATATGTTGACTGTTCTATTATTTCCCAGCTGTAGTAACATGCTGATAAAACCCACTGACTGTGTGACCATAAATCACCAGTTCTGTTCCTCTCAGGTGCTGCTTTAACCACGACTGCTGCTATGGCAAGGCAGAACAAGCAGGTTGTCAGCCAAAGACTGAGAGTTACCACTGGGAATGCAAAGACAATTCTGCTGTGTGTGGTGAGTGAGCACTTGGGGGTTTTTGGTGTTGGGTTTTGGGGGGGGTGTGTTGGTTTGGGTACTTTTTTATTTTTACTGCTACTGATTATCTCATTGACTTCATAGAATAAAGGCATTTTCTCAATTATCTGTAAAATTCTGACTTTACCATCCTTCCTTTTGTGACCTTTTTGCCAGGATGCACTGTGCCTCCAGAAAGCACAGCTATGCCACCCAACTGAATGCACTTTCTTATTCTCAATCCCCACCTTCTGACACACATAAGAAAACAAAATTCTGATCTACAAGCTCCTATTACCCTTTCAGAAAACATAGCCCAAAACCTCCTCCTTTTTCTCAGCACTGATGTTTGTTGAGGTCAGTTACTCTGCATGTAATTTTATGCTTCTACCCAGACTGCAAATTAGCTGGAGAAACCCTGACATGAACTTGTTCAAAGCAAGTCTGTTTCTGACTGCCATGGTTTAAAGGCCATTCGCAGGGAACACAAACCCCTCGAATTTCAGAACTCCATTTAGAATTTGCCTGACCTGAAAACAAATGAAAGTTTTGACATTCATTCCTTTCCTCCTTTACATTCAGCCTTTACTTTGCCCAAGTGTCTACCCCATGCAGAATCTCTCCTTGCTCATTTCTTTCTCTGCATCAGATGCACGAAGCCTCTTGTCTCTCAAAGTAATTAACCTGTCATGTTACAGTCCATCTATACTTGCCTGTAAAAATTCTGCTTCTGTCCCAGTCCAGAAGCTGATAATATTTTAAAATACTGGCCAAGACAGTAGGTGTGTTGTCAAGGAACAAAGATGGAACAAAGTCCCTGTCATACCACAAAGACAAACTTTAGAGCAACTACAGGAGAAGGAATAGTTCTCAGTTAATGTATTTTGGCTTTTTTATCCTATCATGTTTTCATGCTACTTATGCTATTGAGTAGCCCTTAGGGTAGGGAGTTGCAGCATCAACACAGATACATGAACACTTGCAGTTCACAGCAGAAACTGAGTTCATACAGAAAACTGAACACTTGTTCTGCTCCTGGACAAATCTCAAGCAGAGATCTGGCTAAGCTTTTAAAATGTTAAATACTCAGACAAAATGTAATCAAGGATTCCTCAGTTTACAGACAGTTGCAGAGAGAAAAAAACACACATTTCTGCCTTGGCACACTAAACCCAAAATACATTGCTGTGGAAGAAAATGTTCATGCCAAGAAGAAACTCTCAGGCCAAGAAATCTGTTAAGTTGCAACACTACAATTACAAAACAAATATGACAAAACGTGGATTTTGTCACACTTAAACACACTTTACCTAACTTCTTACTGAATGCCTTGATAAAAAAAGAGGTGAGCAATTTAAGCTGGACATGGAACATTTTTGCATCCTGTGTATATATTTCTGGTGCTTTAGTAGATGAGAGGATATGTGTGGAAACTATCTTCCCAACCTCAAGCTTAACTAGAGCAGGAGGGCAAGCAGGGAAGGCCACACACCACTTTCTAAAGAGGAATCAGAGTGGTTTCATTAAAGAACATGAAGAAGAATATTTAAGTCTTTATCTGACTATTGTATTTTTACCTGCCAAGATCAGTGATCACTGATTGATCCACGGATCAGTTGTTGCTAAACCAAACCATTCTGTGTTGGCATTCCATTTGGTGTGTTTTATTACTTCAGACTAACATCAAACTTACTGTGTTTTCTTTCAGATTCACTAGAAGACAAATGCCAAAAAATGGCCTGTGAATGTGACCGGGAAGCTGCCAAATGTTTTTCTAAAGCTCCGTATCACAGAAAATACCTTTTGTGGCCAGACTTTATGTGTGGTGAGATCCAGCCTTTGTGTAGGTATTAGACATCAAACATCAGTCTTCATGAAAACTCTGTATGTATTTAAATCTGACTTTTTTGTGTCACAGCAGTGACAACAAATGATGTTGCCCTTTGTTGATGCTCCTTCTTGCCACCTCAGCCTCTCTACCCAAGAATGGCCAAATTAAACATGTACCCTCTTATTTACCTTGTGCAGTGCCCTTTTATTGACTAAATAGGAATCTGAGTTTATCAGATAAGACCTGACAATATTAATTTTGTTTATATTGAGATTCACAGATTTTTCAGATTTATCTTAACATCTGTTAACTTTGAATTGACTGGAAAAAATGCACTAAGTGACAGTGTCAGCACAAAGAACCCTCTCAACTACATTAAACACTTACAATAAAAGCCTAATTTAACTGTTGCTAATTAACTAATTTAACATTCATCTTAAGCAATCCTACCTGTATTAAAGAAGGCCTAATTAATTCTATTTTTCTAGTACTCACTTTTTAAATACAGTTTTCTGAAAAAGCTGCTCATTTGACATGGCTCAAGCTCCTTACTCTGTGTACACCTTGAACTTCCTGTAAGCACAGGGAGAAGTTCTGCCCTTAAAACTTTAGAGCCACCTTTAAAAGTCAAATGCAAACCATCACCAAAACAGACACATGACAATGCAGCAGTTGTTGGGACCAACTTCCTTTTCCACAAGTGTTTGATCTTGGACAGCAAGAGTTTACCAAGTTCAGAAGTGTATACACCTCATCAGGATGTAAAGATGGTTCTAACTGGGGTCACTTCATAGATTTTTTTAACTTTTTAGAAAGAGAAATCAGTACCATGAATTGCTGAATAATACACTTTTTTCATAACTGCTAATTTTAACAGTTATATAGAACCAGGAGTGTTTCATGTCTACTTTCACCCACCTCAACTCACTCAGAGACACGGGGCTACAGAACAGTCTGCACAAGGCATAACTAATGACAAGTACTTCAATATAAAAAACTCAAACCCAAACAAAATAACCCACTCCTATAATAGTGACGATTTCAAAAGAGATCTTTAATATTTCAAAATATTCACAGGCAAATTTAAAGTTCATACCAATGATACAAATGAAAAAACCCAAACAACAAACCAATGTAGAATGCAAAAAAAATATGACTTTTTCTTCAGTCAAAAAACCATACATTAACAAATGTCAATCCTGTTTACACAAAATAACTTTCCAGTCAATATTTGCTCACGGTTGTAGACACACATTGTATTGCAGTAAGATGTAATTACAGTGTTAGGTCACTTTTCCAAAATAATAATTTTTGAGAGATAACCCTGAATTTAAGAATTAGCAACAGAATTCAAGAGGAAAGCATTAAAGGAGCTATTGATGAAGTGTAACTGACCTGAATAAAAGGTTTTCTATGGCAATCACCACATTTTCCAAAAGATGAGAAAACTCAAGTCTTTGCCCTCAAGAGCAGGAATTTTAGAGCAAACTCTGCTGTGAGACTGTGCAGAGACAGTCACAGCCTTACATGTAAAGAAGAAGGAAATAACTGATGTACTTCCAATATCAGGCCTATCCAGGAAGGGCATTCCTTTGGCAAACTTAAGTTGAGGAACACATCACTGAGATGAAGTGCTACATTTCAAAAGAAAGAAATCACTATAGCAGCTCCTAAGACTTTAAGGCAGGCTGGAAAATATACAGAATGCTCAGAACAGAATAGAGAAGTTTGATCTGATCAAAAATAAGGCAAAATGACTGTAGGAATTTTACATGGCTAAAACAGGAATGTCTTCTTTTTTTTTTCCAGTGGAAAATTCCTTTTGGATACTAGAGCCCATCCTCCAATTTGGAATCAACTGGTTTAAGAGTAACTTACCTTAAGGCTTTTTTGTATGTTTAAATTAACACAATCCACCACTTTTGCTGCCACATACACAAAAAAAAAGCAAAGCTTATTTCAAATGTCCATTTTTAGAAGCTAAAGAGCCCAAAAGTTGCAAAGGCAATCACTGCACTTGTGTCTCCAGACGCCGCAGCTCTGTAACCACAAGATCAATGTTTATGATCGGGTTAAAATACAAGGCCCAGTAAAACAAACAATTGCAGACAAACTGAGGAATAAAAGGCCAAAAAATGGCAACAAAAAGACCCTGGGTTGAGACTTTCCAGAAATGTCTCCACATTCTGTGAGGAATAGTCCTGTGAAAAAGGAAAGGGAGAGGCTTAGAGGGACTTCCTGGTTTGTTTTTACCCACTCTAAGAAAAGCTAAGAGGTGTTGCAGCCTTAAATTATTTAGCCCTTACTTGGGATTACCCTTTACCTGTAAAACACTATTTTGCACTCCAGGAAAAGCTTTCTTAAAACCCAGCAGTACCAAACTTAAAGAGGAAGCATTAAGTCAGTGCACTTAGACCCCAAAGCCCAGCAGGCTCCAGTGTCACATTCCAGCCCTGCCACGGGTTATTCCGTGTCCCCTGTGCTCTTCTGTCCCCTGGCGGCTGGCAAAGGGAAAACCCACCACACACCACAACAAGAATTTCTCCCGTGCAGTTTCTAAAACTAGAAATGAGACCACAGCAACTATCAAGTAATATTAATATGCTCGAATTAAGATTAAAGTCATAACGGAAAACAGAAATTCCTGTAACTTACCAGAAATAATACCAGCATAGCTAAACTTATTTATGGTTCTGAGGACTCATCCTTTAATAACTACACTGGAAGCATATCATGACAAAATTCTGATGTATTTACTCTCAGCTGGCAAGTAATACCAGTTACCATAAAAGGCAGTTCTCACAGTAAGGGTGAGTATTTCCCAGTGGTTAAGAACATGTTTATTACTTTTCTGCATTTGCTACATCTGATAAGTAAAACCAGCTGTAAGAAACCCTATCAAATATTCACATAAATAAAGGCATTCAGAAGTACTAGCATATGTAGGAATTCAGATTCACCTGTTCTTATTAACCTCAGAGTTGTAGTCAGACACTGTCATTTCAGTGAGCAACTGTGCAATCATGAGATTGTTACTATTTATAAGGCCATCTACTTCCTACCCTCTTCAACAAACTCACTAAGACTTACTTCAGTTCTCTTCTTGACCAGAGCCTCCAGAAGGAGAATAATTCCAGAACAGAGAGCAACATAGCATTCACAATTATAAATCTTGATGTCCAGTAGTGCACATCCAGCCAATCCCAAGCAAATTCAGCTATCAACTGGTATGGCAAAAATAAATATTTTACAATGAATTCTCTCCATTGTTTCCATGAAGGATCTTTAAGGTCCTGTAAATTAGGATAAAAAGACTGTTAAACAATTTTCTATTAAACAAATTCAATACTGGCTTATTTCTACTAGTCTTTTGTTGAAAAGCTGTTTTTTCATACATTGAAAGCAGCAAATTGTCTTTGCTATACTTGTGGGTAGATAATACTACAGCACAGTAATTTCCATTAGATTAGAACATCACAGACAGCCAGACCTTAAAATGCCCTTTCTTAAAACACAGGTAATTTGAGTGAAGAGCTTTTCTGTAGTCTTGTGAACTTCAGAAGGATGACTGTCACACATCTGAAGTCTTAAAAGCCTTAAACCAATCTTATTAAAGGTAATGGTTCCAACTCTGGTGACCACATAAAATAAAATCAAGGAACCACTTACTCTGTAGGTTTGTTGTTTTTAAAGTCATAGTGTAAAGAGATGAAATGGTGAATAATTACTTTATGTTTTTATGCTGCTAGTCTTAAAAATGCTTGTAATTAAAGCAAGTAGCACATTTAATGTTTTGAACACTTACCAGCAGTTTTGTGAAAACATCTTCATGTTTGTCTTCTTGCATAGGACAAATTGTGTGGATGAAAGGTAGGAAAGCTTCTGCATAATCAAACAAATACAGGTATAACATACTGAGTCTTGGAGAGCTCTTCAGGGCATACAGAAGAAAGAGGGATTTTCCTGGATTTACAGCCTGAAAGATATCAAATTATCAAGTTTCAATCAGTGAAAAAATAAAATGAAAGGGACATGCCAGTTCTTAGATTTTCTGACAATTATTTTTCAAAGGATCATTTTTCAAATACCACATTTCATTAAAATGGGCAGCTTTTACAAGCACAGTTCCACTACCTCAACACTCCATCTGGTTTCAAAAAAATCTTCTTTTAAAGATATTATTTTAAAAATACTTAATATACATGACACACTTAATATAAAATGTACCTTATATTCCCAAAGGTTCTGTGGTGGTTTAACACCTAAAGCTTTCACACATTCCAGTTCTGCCATGATGGCTTTCCTGTGGTTGCTGTTCTCTATACTGTAAGGCTCTTTGGTGAAATCCTCCTCTGTCAGTGTGAGGAGCAGCCTACAAAAGCAGAAGAATTCAGAAGGCAAACAGTGTCTCTTCACCACAAAGATATGACTCACAAATAAGCAACTCAATACCGAAACAATAAGGTACTGATAGAAGGCAGCACCTTTTGGATTACAGAATGAATCACAGAATGCTTTGGGTTGGAAAACCTTAAAGACCATTGTTAAATTACATTCCATATCAAGTGTTCACACCAACTGCATCTCAGAGCCTGGGTTTTTAAATACTTCTTTTCTAGTTTCCTCTCGCCTGCTTTCAGCATTTCTCTTAGGTGGAATGCAACGATGCACATGGCACATGGATACTTCCAAATGAAAGGGAAGGTGGGAGGGGTGGATAACACACAAGTAGAATTTTACTCTCAGTATCATTTCAGTCTGCATTGTCAGCAATTTAAGAAGTTCTTAGAATATTTTCAAGTAGCTTGCTTAGTATCTACCACTCAAGTTTTCACCACAAATTGTTATAACTTCCCCTACAATGTATTCTGGTACCTTACAGAATATTCCCACAATCCCTGGAGCACAGTACAGTCATTTCCCAACCAGCATCCCTAATGAATCTGTCAGCAATCCCAACACACGATAGTTGTTCTTGGCCATCAGGCCCCTCACCTTCCATTCACTTTCTCCAGTAAAAACCTTTCTTTGTAATGTGAAGCCCATGGGCCCAGCTGCTCCAGCCAGAGGATCACTTCCTCAGCAGTCCATCTAGCAACAGGCTTGTGGACAAGATGATCTTCTTCAAATTCTCTGCTACTCCAGTGATAGCCCAGTAGAACTACCTACGGGTGGATTAAAAAGATAAAAACCCCTCATCTTTTACCTGTAAAGCAAATACATTAACGATAAACATGCAACAAGAGGCTTGGCATGTAGAATTTTCCACTTCATGGGCCCTAGAATATTCAGGCTATAAAAAAGTATCTTGAAGTTTCCCCCACTTTGCCTAACTTCCATCTAAACTACATTGCAGTTGCAGTTCCTGACAGACCTCTGAAGGCCACTCTGCTCAGCTGAAGGCTCTTCTGTGCTGACAAGCTTTCTTTATGTGCATGTAGTTTAAGAAGATTTGATTGCATGCTAAGTGAAGTAAATATGGAAAACCAAGCAGATGAAACTTACTGCTACACAAGTTAAAGCTGTCAGAACGCCTGAGAAAAACCCTCCTCCTCGAGGATTAAATCTTCCTGTGTTCGGAACTGTAGGGATCTGGTCATTCCCATATTTTTGGAAGGCTGCTAAGCTGCGTGCTACATCACTGTTTTGTTGAATATCTTCTTTTCTTTGTTCAGTGGCATCAGAAAATAGCTTTTCAATAACATCCCTAATGGGAAAAATATTTGTCATTGTACCAAAACCATTCAGGGTTCATATTCAGAAAAGGGACTAATTTTGGGTTCATATTCAGAAAAGGGACTAATTTTTGGATTTTTGTTTTCCAGCCTCAATTGTAGACTACCATCTTTGAAAGCAATGAAAAATTAGTTATTAGTACTTAGTAAACTTAAACTTTTATCACTTACTTCCAAACAATGTTTTGCTTAGCTTCTAAAGTTAAAATACCATGTAACTCCTCCCATGTATATTTCTTATGTAAAATTAGAATTCTGTGTGCTACTGGCAAGTCTTGATTACTAAAAAATGGTAAAAGACAACATAAGAGCCTACCCCCAATCCTACCATCTAATTATTAAAATATTATTAACCCAGATAGAGTATTATTAACAAAAGAAGTTGTGGGTAATTCAAAACATCAAACATATTTCTAGCTTTGTTCTGCAATACGATAAATAATTCCTATTACAGAAATAACTACATAATTATCAAAGATCAATCTAACTTACAATTATTAGAAAACAACCAGCTATATTAAAAGATTCAAGGGTCTCAATACTAAAAAAGGATCCCTCCTCTCCATCTCTCAAAAAAATTCAGAAGAAACCACCCCCACTCCAGCCCCCCAAACAAAATCAACACAATCCATGCAGAAAAATGGGCTTGAACAGTTCAGTACAAGTGCAGAACATGAAAGCCTTTGTTGTCCTTGCAACAGTTCAGATTACCAATAAGCTACAAAATTCTGAGAAACTCAAGAAATCAGACAGCTAGTTTCCGTGGTTTGATTTATCCCAAAATGGCATTCACAAAAGAGTACACTCACCTGAGCAGGATGTTGACTTTGGGGAACCCTTCCCATTTTACTCTGCATTCGGGGCACTCGTTCTTCTTGGACGACGCCCACCACAAGGCCAGGCAATGCCTACAGAAACTGTGGCCACAGTTCAGGGTGGTGGGATCGACCAGGATGTCGTAACAGCAGTGGCAAAGGAACTCACTGACTGAGATCTGCCCACTCACGTCAGCAGTAGCACCTGTTTCACCTTCCGCCCTCTCCCTTTCCCCTTGTAAAGTCTCATCTTCTTCCATTTTCTTTTATGCCTCACGCAAACAGAAAGCCCTCTCAGATCTTCAAACCACGTAAGGCATTACCTCTGCAAAGCAACAAGATAAACCTCATTAAGAAAAAAGTTCTGGTAGAAGTTCAGGATGGTAAGCAGTGTAATTTCTCGTGGCACTGCTTTTGCCGCTGGAATGGTTTTAAACCTTCTAAGCAACACAGCCCGCCCCCAAAATGAAACATGATCTACTTTTTCAACAACATATTCATTGCAAATTACAATCAAACCCAGACTCTAGATGTAAACAGCTGGGTTTAATCTCCCTCTACTTTCTTCTCCTGTGTTACTAAACACATGAAAGTGAAACAAAGTAACTCACTGACCCACATGACTTGACTATCTTTAATCAAGGTTTTACTAAAAGACACCAATCAAAAGAAATATAATTAGAAAATACCATCAGAGATGGTATTTTCAAAGATAAAACACCAGTATAACATAAGGCTCTAATTTACTTCATCCCTCTTCCTTCCAAGCATACAGAATAAAACATTACTTACAAAAGTCAACGCTAGACATTGCTGGGCGATGTTAAAAAGAAGAAAAGTTTGATCCACAAAGTCACATGTTTCAGAATTACAAGGGATAGACCTGCTTCCACTTCAGTGAAGGTCTGAGCCCTGCATTAACTTTACTGACAGTTATACTTCGTTAGTATTTCAGAAAACACACAGACGAGAAGAGTCTAAGACTGTTCCAAGCTTACCAAAGATACAAATCTGTTTGCTTGATGTTCCTATTCCATTCTCTCAGATGGCAGTATCTAGTTTCTTAAGAAAAACACTGATCCAGATCACTCACTCATCTCTTGTGATATGTCAGAAGGTACCAAAAACGACACAATTTTCTCCTCAGGTACTACCAAACCAAAATATGACTACACTCTCCACTATGTGGCTCCTGCTTACTACCAAATTACCTATCTGCCATCCCGATCAAGCACAAAGAGGTAAGCGTGCAAGCCGGTAAAGAACGGAAATGAAAAAAAAAAAAAACAAACGAAACAAAAATCAAGTACAGAAACACAGCAGTGAAAACAGAATCCTCACACCGCTTACAAACCTGTATTTCCCCGCAGAGCGCGGACCGTCGGCTTTCTAAAACACCAACCTGAAACAGCACCTACAGGAGGAGAAACAAAACCAAGGTTTTGCACTTAAAAGCATTCTTCTAGTTTTCCCAGAAGGCAGAGCCAGCAGGATTTCCGCGGGTGGAAAAATATTTCGCCGCCCAGCCTCCACCAAATTAAGACCCAGCAGCAGCAGCAGGACGATTTCTGGCTCCTCTCCTGCCTCCTCTTTCCAGCTCCGCCTTCCTGCCCCCCGCGCTGCTTCCTCCGCCGCGTTTCCTGCGCTGGGCTGGGCAGGGCAGGGCAGGGCCGGGCAGGGCTGGGCCGAGCCCGACCCGCAGCCCCGGGCGCGGTGGCAGCCCCGGGGTGCCCCGTTCCCAGCCCCACCGTGCCCCGTTCCCAGCCCCGGGCTCAGCAGGAGCCGGGCCCGCCCCGGCACTGCCCCCGGTGCGGTAACTACACAGCCCTGCCGGGCCGTCCGGGTTAGCAGAGACACGAGAGAGCGTATCTATAGAGACACACATTCGCTATTATTTATAGATCAATCTCTGTTCCCTTACTGCAATTCTTTTCGACTGAGTCCAAAGAAAAACGAGTGATTCATTCTGTACAACCACCTGAAAGGAGGCTGCAGCCAGGTTGGACTCTGGGGTCAGTTCTAACTACTTGGTGTTTATTTTACGGGTGAAAGAAGCAAAGAGTTCCTGGATCTGTCAGTTAGGAATTCCTGGATTTGGTGGGAAATGACAGCCATCAACCACTTTAAAGTGCCATGAGCACTTTAACGAGAAACTGCAGGAATGTATGTTAAAAAACTGAGGAGTAACATGAAAATTTTAGGCTTCAGCCAATTTACTGTAAAATAGAAACATCTCTACTATTATTTTAACTAACACCTTACTGGGCACAATTTAATCATCCTGGATGACTTGCTGGGACTGCGTGTAGAATAAATTGCTTACACTGAAAAGGCAAAACTTAATCTTGAAGAATCTTTAAAAGTTCTCTCCGCTAAGTCTGGTGTAATTCTTTATCTTCTTCTCTATGCCGAAACTGCCTCTCAATTTATGGAGACTTCTACATTTGTTTTCATCCTGCTGGTATTCTGGAAAAGACGCTTCCTGTGCCGTGTGAACTTTAACCCTGCAGCCCATTCACTAAACTCTCACGGTGTCCGTGCCCACAGCTCCTGCCCTGGGCAGCTCCTCCTCCCACAGCGCTGCTGCGGGGACAGAACGCTTGTTATTATACAATTACGAGTGAAAGTGCTGCTTTTACCAGGAAGGCGAACGCTTCTTCCGTAACACGCCAAGCCTTCCAGTTCCTCCGGACTTGGCATCGTTAAGGCACCACCACCAGCAGCTCTCCTGGTGTCTCCTCAGTAGATTCCCATCCCTTCTTCCTTCCTGGTGCTAGTTACGCATTTCTGGGCTGAAAGGCGAGCGCTTTGTGGGCCGTGACATCTCACAACGCCCCACGGGAGAGCGGCGGGGTGGGACTCCTTCCTTCCCTGGGCAGCGCCGCTACAGCCGCTCCGCTGCCGCGGCGGGCAGGGCCGGCGGCTGAGGGCCCCTTGCAGCCAGAACAGCCCGGCAGAGCAGCGAAGGCAGCCGCGTCCGTGCTGGGTGCGGGGCAGGACGGACAGAGCACAGCGCCCGCCCCGGGGCAGCGCAGAGCGCTCCGTGCCCTGAGGGCGCCGCCCCGGCAGGAAATGGCGGCCGGGCGCGCTCACGTGCGCGCTCACGTGCGGCGCGCGGGGCGGCCCCGGAAGCGCTCGGCGGGGCCGGGCCGGGCTGCGGCGGGCGCGGGATGGAGGTGACCAGGAGCAGTGAGTGACCGCCCGGAGCGACACCCCTCCCCTGAGCCGAGCCCTGCCGGCTTCCCTGCCCCGGGCTCGGCCTCTCCTTCGTGGCGAAGGGGGTCCCCGCACCTCCCCTGGCCCGTGAGGGGCGGCCCCGAGGCGGGAGGCGCGGCCCCGGGGCTGAGGGGGCCCGAGGGGCGCCGGGCTGCCCCGGGGTGTGGTGCGTAACCTCAGGTGCGTTTTACCCCTTTCCCCGCAGATTTTAAGGATAACCTAAACAAAGTGTATGAAGCCATTGAAGAGTCAGACTTCCTGGCCATCGATGGGGAGTTTTCAGGTACGGTCGCGCTGGTTTTGTGGTTGTGAGCTGTTGGCAATGTCTGTGTGGGGGTCCCCGTGCCCCAGTTCGCTGTCTCAGTGTTGACTTGAAAAAGCTAAAGCTGAGGCTACTGCAAAGTGATCAAACTACTCGTTATGTCTGCGATAGCAAGGTTTTGGTCAATGATACGTGTCATGCTAATGCTGCCTCTACTCCCTCCCCGCAGTAATCTTTCAATGTGTTAATTGATTTTCAGTTGCAGCTGAGGGGAAAAAAAGAAGGTATTACATGTGATACCTTTATAAGTGAAAGATTCAGATGAATGAGAAAGGCCTTGCAAGTATTTGGACAGGGAAGGGCAGCACTAAGAACTTGTATGTTTGTAAAATCCAGAGGGTGTGTGTGTCACAGAGATGCTTTAATAAGTACTTTGGTTTTGGGATGTAGAGTTCAGTCATCCATGAAACATGATCCGTGTGGATCTTGAGCCATGAATGTGATCAAAACTTGGTTTTGTTAGATGTGGTGCTTATGGAAATACAGTTGTTGTGTATTGTTTAAAGTGGCTAAGTCATTCCGTAAATCCCTGGGCAGCACTCTTCCCATTTTTAGTTTGGCTTTGATCCTGCACTGTGCTGTAAAGCCCATCTATGTTATTTTATGAAGGGTCTTTGCCTGTTACTGACACATTGAGTAGGAACCAGAATGGCAGAACTTCTGCAGAAGGGCTTTGCTGCTGGAACACTACTGTTAAAATGGGTGGCTTTTATGCAGTAGAAAATCCTTCCGAACTGAAATAATTGTAACATTAAGTGAAAGCATTTTTCTTAAATTATCAGTTGTTGCATTTCTTTGCTGTGGCTAATTTTGAAAAGCTTACCCAAAGCAAAATATGTTCTACTTTTTCAGGGATCAGTGATGGGCCTTCTGTTAGTGCATTAACAAATGGCTTTGACACTCCAGAAGAAAGGTATCAAAAACTTAAAAAGGTAAAGTGTTTACACTGACTGGAAGGAAAATTCTGGAAAAAGGTTAGAATGCCTTGGTTCATCGTGGAGACAACACAGAGAAGTATGTCATGGGTCTAAAACTGAGTTACAGGCAGCAGATGGGATTTGCTTGTTTTGTTTTCTGGTAACACAATTGAATGTTGCATTAAACTTGCAGAACTCATGGTCAGAACAGACAGAAATGATTCCTCACACAAGAATGAGTAAAGGTGTAGAACTAGTTAAAGGATGTTGAGAGTGTTAATGAGTTCAAAGGAGGATTGGGTGAGAGGAGTTCAGTGAGGAGAAGCTTCATCAATTCAGGCCCTGCAGGCGAAGTCAGTCTCTGTTAACATTTTAAGAAGTCTGTTGTATCAGAAGGCAGACCCAGATTCTTTGTTGTCACCTTCTTAAAGCTTTACCTTTAACATCGAATAACTTGATAAATTGATATTTTTGATCTTTATGTTCAAGAGGGCTAGTTTTGAATGCCTGTATCCAGTGTAAGCCATGTGGGTTAGAAGAATATTAAATGTGTTGTTACATGTATTTGAAAACTCCTCTCACACTGTAGGGAATGTAAGTGAACATTGAGAAGGACTGAGAGCTGCTTTGGGTGCAGCATGTCCTGTGCATGAGCAACAGGTGGAGAGAGAGATGGGAATTCCCTCAGTTCTTGTCTGTTTATGGAGTAGAAGTGCATACTACAAATCATATTTGGGCAATAGTAAGATGATTAAATGCAGATGAAAACTAGTTGAAAAACTCTAGTGTGTTTATTTTAAAATTACCAGCGAAACAAACATTGGTTAAGAAGATTCAATTTACTTAATTTTGAAATGGAGAGAAGTCATATGTGGATGCACCCCGGTAATCTTTAAATGTGTACAGGTTTTATTCTCATGCAAAGTTTTCCTTTCCTTTCCAGCATTCCATGGATTTTTTGCTCTTTCAGTTTGGCCTTTGCACTTTTAAATATGGTGACACAGAAGAAAAGTATGTCATTCTCTTATTTCTTGTTTTCTTAATTGAGGATTTTCTAAAGTGATACTGATAAGCTCTATTGACATGCAACTCATCTTCTCCACAGGTATATAATGAAGTCATTTAATTTCTATATTTTTCCAAAACCCTTTAACAGAAATTCACCAGATGTCAAGTTTGTCTGTCAGGTTAGTAGAAAAACAAGTTTGATTTTGTTTGGTTAAGGTATACCTGCAGCAAACTTCACCTTAAAAGGTGGAAAAATAGAAGTTTCTGGGGTTTGGTTTTGATTTTTTTCTTATGAGAGAAATAAACATCAGTTAAGAGCAATCCCTAAAAATGAGCTTTAAGGCAATATCTTTGGCTTCAGTTTTTAAATCTTGTTATGTATTACATTGTGTGGTTTCTGGAATTGGAGATAATGTTCCAAACCTGGCAAGATGATTCTAATTTTTTCCCTTTTCTCATTGGACTTTGTGTTCCCTTTCCCTGTTTTATCCTATATTCTCATCTGCTTGTCTTACTTTTACTTCTTCCCAGGCTATTGCCAGCATTTTTCCTGTCTCAGATTTGTTCTCCTGAACATTTTGCTTTCTTTAGTTTCCTCTCTCCACGTAGCTCATTCTTTCATCTCTATCCCTTAGGATATTTATTGTTCTATGAAAGTTGAAAATAAATAACAAAAGTAATATTGCCTGAATTCTTGTTTAGAGTCAAAAACGTTGTTGCTCTTGACTTTGGACTTTGTATAATTTCTTAAGAAGTGTGTAAATAACCGAATTGATATTTTATGCCACAGCTCCTTTTCCAAATGTAAAGTCTTTTTCTTTTGTTGCAGAGTTCAAGTATAGATTTTTTAGCAAACCAAGGATTTGATTTTAATAAAGTTTTTCGCAACGGTGAGTTGTTTGGGGTTTTTTTATATTTCTTTCAAAGTCTGCAATATTTATGATGACACCTTTCATTGTGTTCTGCAAGAAGAAAAAAGGCTGCTATTCATGATACTCTCTTAACACACAGTGAAGTTCTTGAGTTATTTTTATCTCTTTTACTGTTGTGCTGGTAGTAATTCCTTTCCAGGAATTCATTGTATAGGTTCAACAGAATGGAATTCCTGCTTACAGGAGGGTTTGGTTGTTTCTTGTTGTCCAGTGGCAAAGCATGAATGGAGAGATCCATAGTAATGAATCAGAAGTCATGTTTTAGGAGGGGTATCAGTGCACTGTAAGGGTGCTGCTGCAGTCTGGGATTCAGGTGATCCAGGGAGCAAGGGAGAGGAGGGCTAAATATTACTGTGGTTGGGACCTGTGGCTCTGCAGTCCTTGGGCTCATTCCCTGTCCAGTGGTACCAGCTAGTGTGGCATGTGCTGGAGGGAAGCCTGGATAGACATGGATAACCAGTGGGATGTGGGACAGAGGACTGAAAGGAAGGGTTTGTTTTCAGCCTTCAGGGCTGTAAGAGTGGCAGATGCTTGGTTAGTGATAAGTCTTTGCTGAATCCCTACACATCCCTAATTTGTCTGTAATTATGATGAGCTTTTACTTTTTTTTTCCTTTTTGTTAGGAATTCCATATTTAAACCAGGAAGAAGAAAGGCAGCTAAGGGAACAGTATGATGAAAAGCGTTCTCAAGCCAATGGTGCAGGATCTCTGTCATACATTTCTCCTAATTCCACAAAGTGTCCTGTAACAATTCCCGAAGATCAGAAAAAATTTATTGAGAAAGTAGTGTAAGTTAAATTGTTTCATATCCTCTGATGTTGTTAAAGCTAAAATGTGAACTGTAGTGATATTTTTTTATGTTGAAGCCATTTTTATTAGTTCACTGGTTTTAAAATGCTGCTCTTTTTGTTTTGAAGTGTTTTCTTGTCTTTTGGGGAGGGCTGTAAACTTCCAAAAAATAAAACAGTAGATATAGAAGCAAATAATTATTTCCTCCAGGGAACAGATAGAAGACTTATTAAAGAATGAAGAAAGTGAAAGTTTGGAACTGGAGCCATGTACAGGGTGAGTTTCTGAAGTTGCATATCTTCTAAAAATATTTGTTGTTTGGTCATACAGAATTAGGGGAGTGACAAGGAAGACTGTCTTTACTTGAGTTGACTTCAGCAAAATTTACATTTGATTGATTTTTGTATGTTGAAAAAATGTGCCTCTGTATATGGGTGTCATAGTTTGAGCTGTAACTTCTGCATGTAGTGGCAACATATTTAAGTACAGCCAAAAAATGTCTTGTATATATGGGCCTCCTCTTGCTATTGCTGAAGTTTTCCATAAGCCTTGGAAATGCATTTTAAAAATAAACTTTTCAAATCTATTGGACTGTTAGTTGTTTGTAGTTGACAGTGTGTTACTGTTTTTTATTAGGTCTCCTTCTCAAAAATCTATTTAGCTTTGGGGTCTGGATGTTTGGAGAGTATGGTTGTTTAAAAAATTTAAAAAAAAATATTGAATTTAGAAATAGCAGAACATTGTGAGATGAGGTAAGGTATCATCACTGTA